TCTATCACGTGCATAAATAATTCAACATTATATCGGTGTTCAATTTGATTTAATAATAATTGATTTACACTATCAATATATAATGCAGTAGTGGATATGTGATTAACTTCTTTTTAGTATCACATTCAAACCAGTCATTTTTCGTACCATAACAACCTAAGTACTCTCTCTCAGAAATTCATCCATCTCCTTCTACCATCCAGAGCCTCTCTCCTCGTCCCATCCTTGTAGTTCTTTTCCAGAAAATATCTCCACTTGCGATTCCAGCTTTGAGCATTAAAGTAAAGGTATACTTCTTAATTAATCCCCAGCTACAGATAGCTGGATTATTTTTACTCAAATTTCATTTTACCATATGTTTTCTCTGGCTTTTTGCAATCTTTCTGATGGATATATCCCTTCAAATCATTATTTCTACGAAGTGTGTGTTATTATTATTTTTTTCTCTTGAAAGTTGAACAATCCCTGTATATTAAATTTATTGACCAAATTAGAGAGAATATTAGATAATATTAAGTGTTTTAATTAGTGCTGCGTAAATATATATATATTTTAAAATTATTTATTGATTGTGCTTTAATTCATTAGAGCATTTAATTATTTTTAATTAAAGTCTGTCCTTAACTAATATGATGAATTCATACCTATGGCTGCATCAGAGTTTTATGGTAGAATTTTTCAAGTTTCTCATGATTTTTGTTCTGGCTCTCAATTTTTTTGGTTAAATGTTAATTTTGATCCCTTAATTTTAAAGTTTTACGTAATTTTTATACTTCAACTTTTTTTTTTTTTGCACTTTTTTGATTTCTTAACTATAAAAAATGTACTTTTTTAATTTGTTAAGTTTTTTAAAATTTACACATTTTTAGTCCCTCAACTTTAAGCTGAGGGGCAAAAAATGTGCATATATGAGAAGTTGAGGAATTAAAAATATGTAGATTCAGATAGACTTAATGGATTAGCTAACGAAAAGATTAAAAAGTGTATTTTTCATAGTTAAGGAACTAAAAAAATACAAAAAAAAAGTTGAGGATGAAAATTATGCAAAATCTTAAGTTGAGGGACCAAAATTGATATTTAACCTTTTTTTTCATGATTAACCCATCATGAAACAAGTATGTATCTAATCCTTTAGTAATTTAAATTAATGCCATCTCATTAAGTATGATGGTTCTTGCATTGTACTTGCTTATCCATAATTGAAGATCGATTCATAACTTCAACATATATATAATGCTGTCTCCTTCTCCTCTCCTTAAGCTTGAAGTTAACAGAAATTGAGGGTGCCAAAGACAATGTCTCAAGGAAGCATTCTTGGTCTAGGCCTTCTTTTAGCATCTGTCTTCTTGTTTATCAACTCCTTTGAATGTACTGAGTATTCTCCTCCATCAACTCAAGGTATGCTATCATCCAAATTACGCATGATCTCTTTATATTCAGATTTTTATTTGGATGTTCATTCTAATGACTTCAATCACCTTTCTAATTTTAGGAGAACTTCCCTACATGACCTCAAATGTAGAAGAAGTTTCTGGTAAATCCTTTGATTACATTGTTGTGGGTGGAGGCACTCTTGGCTGCCCTCTTGCTGCAACTCTGTCTGAGAAATTCTCTGTTTTGGTGGTGGAACGAGGTGGTTCACCTTATGGCAATCCCTTTTTGGATAAAAAATACAATGGCTATCTATTGATTCAGGCAGATGAGTTTTCAACTGTTGCACAACAGTTCACCTCAGATGATGGTGTGGGGAATTACAGAGGACGAGTACTTGGAGGATCCTCTGCCATTAATGCCGGGTTCTATAGCAGAGCTAGCAAGGATTTTGTTGATCGTGCCAAGTGGGAGAATGATCTAGTTGAGGAAGCTTATAAATGGGTGGAATCAAAGATCGTATTTAAACCTGAATTGACACCATGGCAATCTGCGGTTAAATTGGGCCTTCTTGAAGCTAGAGTTGGACCTTACAATGGGTATAGTTTGGAGCACATTGAGGGAACAAAGATAGGCGGAAGTATATTTGATGAATGGGGCAAAAGACACACCTCTGCTGATCTTCTAGGGGCAGGGAATCCCAAAAACATCACTGTTCTTTTGAATGCAACAGTAAAGAACATCATCTTCCATAACAACAGTAAGGCAAATGAGACAAGAGCCCACGGAATCATGTTCATCAAGAGCGATGGCAGCACAAACCAAACCTATGAAGCTTACCTCAATCAACCCAAGAATTCATGTTCCTCTGGTGATGTTATTCTCTCAGCAGGGGCATTAGGTAGCCCCCAAATCCTATTATTAAGTGGAATTGGACCCGGTAAAGATCTGAAGAACTTTGACATCCCAGTTGTATTGGATCTTGAGGGTGTTGGAGAAGGAATACAAGACAACCCCAGCATTGCAGTTGAGTTTGACAGCTCGCCACAGATTCAGCAGCGAGATCCCCCTCAACTTGTAGGCATAGCAAAGGATTTCAAATTCATCATTCAAGGAGGAGTAATCTGGACCAGCTTCAACTCAACAAGGAATCGAATCGCGGCCAAGATTGCATTCCCAGCATCCAAAGGGAAGCTCAAACTAAACAGTACAGACCCCAGGAGAAGCCCTTCTGTAACATTCAATTTTCTAGCTGAGGAGGAAGACTTGGAACAATGCGTAAACATGGTTCAATTACTCAGGCAAGTGGCAGGATCGAAATCCATTACTGACTTCTTAGGCAACCACAGTCAAAGTAACTTGAACTCTAGTTCCAATCAGCTAAGACAATTCTGCAAGCAGAATGTAAGATCTTATTATCATTATCGTGGAAGTTGTGCAGTTGGATCGGTTGTTGATCATGAATACAGGGTTTTTGGGGTTGAGGGATTAAGAGTCATGGATGGTTCAACCTTCACAGAATCACCAGGAACAAATCCTATGGCTACCCTCTTGATGCTAGGAAGATATCAAGGTATTAAATTACTCAGAGAAAGGGAAAATTGTCTCCCAATTGATTGGAATTCAATGAATCTTATGAAGATTATCACAGCAAATCACAGGGAAAATTGTCTCCCAATTGATTGGAATTCAATGAATCTTATGAAGACTATCACAGCAAATCACAAACAACATGGAGAACAGAAAGTAAAGTCAGACAACCAGAAAGGAAAGAGACAAGTACATGACCAACAAGGAAAGAACAAGGAAGCAGAAATCACAAATCAAAAGCACAGGATTCAGAAATCAAATATCAAAGCAAGCAACGGTCAAGAGATAGCAAAATCAAAATAATTAATAGAATGATTTTCCATTATAGTAAATCAAGGCCAACTGCACTAATTTAGAAGTTGAACATTGGCTGTATATGTATATATATTCCTATGTCGAACATGTATCAGATATAGGGAAATATACAATCTCAGTTTCTCTTTTTTAAGCCTTATTAAAGGTTTTCAAATCTACCATCAATATATAAAACTAGGGTTTGTTGAGATCCCATTCAATAAAAATGAAGAATTTGTAATGAAATTTAATCAAATTAACCTAAAAT